TTAAAACAAAAATAAAAGCCCTCAGATTCTTGGGTTTCTACCTTAGAGATTCTGACTGAATAGATCTGGGTAAGGTTTAAGAACCAGCATTTCTAATAAGCTCTTGGAGATGCACAGGGCATAATGGCTACATAGGAGCTTAGGCCTTTCTCTTCCAGTTGTTGTACACTTTCAGACACTGTAGGACATAGGCTGACTGGCCTTTTTTTTTTTTTTTTTTTTGGTGGTGTTGGGGATTGAACTCAGGGCCTTGTACATGTGAGGCAAGCACTCCACCAACTGATCTATATCCCCAGCCAACCTTTTTGTTTTTTAAAAGGGACATGAACCCCAGGGTTTAAATGACACATTAAAACTTTCTTAACAAGAAACAAGTCTCCTCAAAATTCCAGGCATAAGATGAGAAACAAACATTCAATTTGACAAATAAATATAAAATAGACCACCAAACTGGCATAAACTCAATTTTCATGAAGTTTTTTTTTTTTTAAAGAGAGAGAGACAGAGAGAGAGAGAGAGAGAGAGAGAGAGAGAGAGAGAGAGAGAGAGAGAGAAAGAGATTTTTTAAAAGTATTTATTTTTTAGTTCTCGGTGGTCATAACATCTTTGTTTGTATGTGGTGCTGAGGATCAAACCCGGGCTGCACACATGCCAGGCGAGCGCGCTACTGCTTGAGCCACATCCCCAGCCCCAATTTTCATGAAGTTTAAAAGCTGAAAACTGAACAGAACCATAAAACAGTTCCTATATGCAAGGAGAAGATACTGGATGTAACTATTTCTAAGAGTGATACCCATATCAAACTGCTTGAGAATCAGAGTTCAGTCAGCCATAGGAGCTATCCACTCTGCCCCATGCTGTAGCAGATGGGCATATTTTCCCAGAAATAATCTTATCTTTGGCTATTTCAGAGTTAATTTGGTGCTGTTAAATATTGATTCTAATTTGAAACCACAAACTTTTCATTCATATTTTAGACAAGCCCATCAAGATCTGGAACCAAGAACAGTCTGAGTTTGGTCACTTCAGAGCATTAACCTCATGGTCTGTTTCTAGAAACTATGGGCTACTTCTGGTGACAATGCTTCCCTTTTAAGCACATTTCAAAGACAAATTGAAGAAGGTAAAGATCTTTCAGACTGAAAAAGCAGTAAGCAAAGAAGATCAGCATTTAACTCTCCAGTAGTCCAGGTAGGAGGTTAGCTACCTATTAACAGAGGCTTGGGGAAAACTGGTTGAGATAATGCTAGGCTGGAACTCTTAACTGAGATACATTTGAAATGTGGAGAAACTTGATATTGTCCTTAGAAATTTAGTAAGAGTCACTTTCTACTTGCTCTAAGAGAAAGAAAATGCATCCACTTTCACTACTATAAAAATTGTAATTGGAAGCTTCCTTACCTATTCAGCAAGATTTAGCATGTGTAGAATATTTCCATCTATTACCTTAATTCTCATAACACAATAATGTTTATGAAATTTTTAAGGCATGGGAAAACATTTATGTCATAAATGTGAAGAAAACAGATATAGGACAACAAACATCCTCTTATTTAAATTTTTTTTTTTTGTGTGTGTGTGTGTGCATGGTATAAGGGACTATATCCAGAAGTCCTCTATCACTGAGCCACACCACCAGTCCTTTCTTTTGACACAGGGCCTCACTAAGTTGCCCAGGCTGGCCTTGAACTTGTGATCCTCCTGCTTCAGCCTGGAGTTGCTGGGATTATAGGTATGTGCATTGTGCCTGGCTCCCCCTGCATCCCCACCATCAGTATGGGAATGGAACCAGAAGTACTCTGACACCACGTTATAAACCCAGCTTCCTCCTCTTTCTTGTTTATTTATTTATTTATATTTATTTTTGAGGTCCTTTTGAACTCAGGGGCACCTGACCACTGAACCGCATCCCTAGCCCTATTTTGTATTTTATTTAGAGATAGGGTCTCACTGAGTTGTTTTGCACCTTGCTTTTTGCTGAGGCGGGCTTTTAACTTGCAATCCTCCTGCCTTAGCCTCCTGAATTGCTGGGATTACAGGTTTTTCTTGTTTATTTTGAGACAGGTTCTCACTAAGTTCCTAAGGTTGGCCTTAACTTGTGATCCTCCAGCCTCAGCTTCAGAGTAGCTGGGATTATAGGCATGCGCCATTGTGCCTGCTAAATATACTCTGATCTTAATGATAAAAAACATATAGCAAAGAGATACCAATATTTTACCAGAGGCAGTTCCCTGTGGGCAGCAGACTTATGAAAAATTAAAAAAAAAATTAGTACTGGGGATTGAACTCGGGTACTCTACCACTGAGCTATATATATCCAGTCCTTTTTATTTTGAGACAGAGTCTCATTAAGTCTGGGCTGGTCTTGAATTATTTGCAATCCTCCTACCTCAGATTCCTGAGTTGCTGGAATTACAGTATGCACCATTGTGCCCAGCTATTTTTTAATTTTCTGCAATGAGAATGTGTATGTGTGTATATATGTAAGTGTATACAAATATAATTTTTTGAACCCAGGGCCTCATATATGCTAAGCACACAATTTACTACTGAGCTACACTACACCCCCAGCCCCACAACTAGAATATATATTGAGGAAAAAAAAAAAAAAAAAAGAAGAGAGCATCAGAAACTAATAGAAAAAGAAGTTTTACCTCTTTTGGGGCAATGGTTCTAACAAACATACTAAAATTTGAAGCATGTATAATCTACTCACAAGTGGTTGGCAGTGAAGGAAGAAGATATATTACCTTTAGCAAAGTTGTATTTATAGGGTTGAGACGAGAATTGCATTCAACCTAAAAAAAAAGGCAGGGGGGGAGAAAACAATTTTATGAATGGCTTTAAAAAAGAAATAGCTTGGCATGAGAATGATCTTGCAAGACCAATCACTCAGTTTGGCGACTGGAAGATATATATGATAAATTTCATTTTTTAGATTTTGCAGTGCTGGTTATTGAACCCAGGACCTTGTATGTACTAGGCAAGAGCTCTACCACTGAAATAACATCCTTGGCCCATATGATGTATTTTATGTGATAAATTTTATATCTGAACAGATCTAAAACTCTGGCTAATTTCATTTTCTGAATCTGATACAAGTAGAAACAACTATATACTGAATCTAAAGATTTTTTTTATTGGCTACACAGCCTGAGGGCAGGGTATCTTACTTATTTGTGAACTGGCTCTCTCCTCCTGGGATCTCTTTGATGCCTTCCCAGCAAAACTGGCCATAATGACTGAGCCCTGTGCACCTCCCCTGGTTCTGCTTTTCACTCCTCTGTGGGGCCCTGGTATAGTGGGTCTGCCATTCCTTATAATCTGACTATGGTTCTCTAGTCCAAAGCTCAACTCCTCTGTGATCTTTCTCTTATAGCATTCATTACAATGTAGTATTAAAGCCTGGTATATTTACATGTTTGGCATCTTGTACCCTTATATCCATGAAGCCAAGAACCTCAAAAAAAATGTTTTGGGGAGGAGAGTGTCTCTGGGTTCAGTGATTCTTTTTTTGGTGGGGGAGGGGCGGTTTAGGATTGAACCCAGTGGCTTTGTGTGTGCTAAGCTCAAGCTCCATCATTTAGCTACACATCTCCAGCCCCACAGGTTCAGCAGTGTTTTTCTGGGGGTGTGGCATGTGGGGGTTTTGGGGATCCAACCCAGGGTCCAGCACACGCTAGGCAAGAGCTCTACCACTGATCTATATACCAGCCCTCAGAAGTGTTTTATGGCTAATTTGATCAACTGAATCTCTCCTTTACATGTCTGCAAAGAATACACACATAAAATCTGTGCTAAGAGTTTAGAATTCAGTGGGGTGAAAAAATATAGTACAAAGCAAAATGAAATCACTTTAAAAAATTTTATAACTTAGTTGAGTGGACAGTGAAAGACAATAAGAATTTCTACAGATAAATAAATAGCAGAAGTTGGTGTCTGAAGGCTTCCACAGTTCCAGAAAGCGTGAATGTACAGAGCCCAAGTGGGTCACAGAGGCAAGTGTGAAGGGAGGATGCCCACTGAAGCAAGGCTGGGAGCAGGCTGGAGCTCTGAAGAAAGCAAGAAGCCACAGGTTTCGAAGGTGACAGGATGTGAGTTGTTTCAAGAGAGTAGCTGTCTATATAACAGACTACAGAGGCAGTTAGCCAGTTAGGGAATTAAAATCACCTAGGCAAGAACCAGTAACTGGATTCAGCTGAACTTTTGATCTGGGGACTGCTGATGGGAAGGTATACAAAACTCTTCTAAAATCAGGGAATGATCTAAATGTCAGGACCACTGAGTCAGAGTTTGCACAAGTTTACTATGAATATGTATTAACTTAGAAGTTAATATTTAGAAACTGAATTCCTAACAGGCACAGTGCTAAGAATATAGTGGATATGCTATAAATATTTTCTGGAAAAATTAACAAGTCTGATTTTAATCTAATAAACCATGTTTTCCTTGGCTCACTAGTTGTAATTTCTATAATATTATAAGATGTCTTAGTATCTGGTAGGTCACTGATCATCTTTTTGTGTGCATGCTAGGGACCGAACCCATGGCCTCACTCAGGCAAGTGTGGTACTACGAGGCTACAACTCAGCCTCTAATTGTTGGTTGCTGACATGTTTACTCTTCCAACTCCCCAAATACAGAGATTCCACCTTATTGCCTCCATAGCATTGAGCAAATAGGAGGTGCTCAAAAATGATACTGAATGAATAAATGAGCTGGCAAATCCTGCCTAGGTTTTGCAGAGTTTCTCATTGCTTCTTCGTTGGAAATCCCACTACCTGTGGGCTAAAATGCTGTGGCAGGGGAGACAGGTTTAAGTGAATAGAAAAGTTATCTAAGCTGTGCTACAGCAGTGACTCCTGAAGTTCTTCTCTATAGACGCTGGGAAGTGGAAAATCAGAAAGAAGAGATCTTATTTATGTGGCTACTTTATAATCTTGAAAAATAATTGAAAATATTGCAGTTAAGTCCAACTTTTTTTTTTTTTTTTGAGACAGGTCTTGCTATGTTACCCAGCCTGACTTTGAACTCTCAATCCTTCTGTTTTGGCCTTCTGAGTAGTAGGAATTACAGGTATGCACTAATGCGTCTGGCTCCACACAACTTTCAAAAGACAAATAACTTCAGATCTAAGATTCATGGAAATACTCCCTCAATACTGATTCTGGGTATTTTCTTTTTCATGGCATGCATCATCATCACCTTTATAGACAGAAAAGCCTGACCTTTACAGAACTACTTTTTGATGAACTGGAATCATTATCATATGTCTGGGGAACTTTTTAGGGGAAAGGTTGGGAGTTGAGGGTTATTGCCTCTATGCACAAGCTATTTTATACCAGACACAGAACGTTTTACAGAGAAGTTGAGAGAAGGAAACATATTGTATTTTCATATCTATCTAACCCTACAAACACTACCCTACCCCCAAACCTTCTCTCCATGTCTATACTTTTTTCCTGTGGGGGATGGGAGGGGTGGTACTGGGTATTGAACACAGGGGCACTTAACCACTGAGCCACATCCCCAGCCCATTTTATTTTTTTATTTTGAGACAGGGTCTCACTGAGTTGCTTAGAGCCTCGCTAAGTTGCTAAGGCTGCCTGTGAACTTCCGATCTTCCTGCCTCAGCCTCCAGAGCCTATAGGATTACAAACATGCACCACCATGCCTGGCTCTTGTGCTACTAATTATCAGACTCCATTTCCAAAGAGCCTTACTCTTTAACACTTTGTCCTAGATACAGAAGAAGTGAAGAATGCCAAAGAAAATCAACTAATTTCACATAGGTACTTGGTTAAGTTAAACAAGGAAAAGATATAATGGTTATAAAAAACTGTCAACTTTATTTGTAAATAAACAAACGCAAATTAAACAGTGAGATGTCATTTTTAAAAAATATTTATTTTTTAGTGTTGTACACCATACCTTTATTTTGTTTATTTATTTTCATGTGGTGCTTAGGATGGAACCCAGGGCCTCGCACGTGCTAGGCGAATGCTCTACCACTGAGCCACAACCCCAGCCAAGAGATGCCATTTTTAACCGATCAAATCAACAACATATATATATATAAAAATCAGTGGTGGGCAGTGTAGTGAAACAGGCTGGTGGCAATAAATTGGAGCAATTCTTTTTTGGAAAGGAATCTGACAAAATATATTTAAAAACTTATAAATGTTTATAATTTTTTTAATATTTATTTTTTAGTTGTAGATGGACACAATATCTTTATTTTATTTTACTTATTTCTTATTTGGTGCTGAGGATCAAACCCAGGGCCTTGCACGTGCTAGGCGAGTACTCTACCACTGAGCCACAACCTCAGCCCAAATGTTTATAATTTTTGACACATTAATTCCACTTCTGAAAATCTATCCCAAGGAAATAACCAAAGATTCAAAGATTTTTTTTTTTTTTAAATATTTATTTATTTTTTTAGTTTTCAGTGGACACAACATCTTTGTTTGTATGTGGTGCTGAGGATCGAACCCGGGCCGCACGCATGCCAGGCGAGCATGCTACCGCTTGAGCCACATCCCCAGCCCAGATTCAAAGATTTTATAAGCAACATTTCAACTGCAACATTAACTGTGATGTAAAGTCAGAAATAATCAATAGGAGAATAAAGTTAAATAAATAATGTACTTTAACAAGACAGAATGTTATACAAACATACTGACTTTATAATATGGAAAAATGTTACCAACAGTGTTAAGTAGCCAGGCATGGTGGTACACTCCTCTAGTGCCAGCTACTCAGGAGGCTGAGTCAGGAGGAATCCAAGTTTGAGGCTAGTCTGGGCAACTTACCAAAACCCTGTCTCAAAATAAAATAAAAAGGGCTGTGGGGTAGCTCAGTGGTAGAGCACTTGCCTAGTAAGCACAAGGCCCTGGATTCAATCTGTAGTACCTCAAAAAAGAAAAAAAAAGTTGTCAAGTAGTTAGGTTCTAAATCTCATATATTGAATACAGTTCGGGTCTATGTTAAAGACAAAGATAACCATTTGTGTAATGGGATCATGATTTTCCCCATTCTATTTTAAAATTTTTAAATATTTTCTATAATAAGTATATATCACTATTATCAGTATACTATGTGCTCGACAGAAGGTAGAAAAAAAGCACACAGGCTCTTGGCAGCCTTCCAGCCTGTTGGATTTTTGGTGGTAATCTATTGCAGATGCAAAGCTGAGGTTGCCAGAAATCTGACAATAAATAAATGGTGTTTCATTGTACTATTTGCCACAAGGTGAAATGCACCACACAAAGCAATCGAGGGCAACAATGATCCCATCTGATGAAACCTAGTGAGTGATGAGGAATTACTTTTCCAAAATGTCTAACAAAGAGCAAACCCTGATATGTGCAACCAGAAAATAACATAAGCTAATCGTTATCAAATTTTTTTGGTATGCAATAAACATTTTATTACATTTGAATATCATCTTCCTCACAACATCAAGACACACTTACCACAGCCTCAACAGCAGGTGAATTGTCTCCTACCACCAATAAAGTAGAACACCTAGGTACAGAAGGAGAGAGCAAATAAGCACATACACTGCACTGAACACTGAATTAAACATAATAGGCAAAGATGCTAAGCAATTCAATGGGGAAACTGAGGGACTTACTTTAATGTTTTTAATCTGTTATCATTTTGGCCCAGTATGGGTCTTTCAATCTCTAGGTCTCTGCGTCTAGAAAAACAAAACAGGATCAGTGCATTTTTGAGGTAAAAATCATGACAACTCAGGTTATTTTGTAGTCATGAAAATCAAAGCATTATCAAGGACTGTGAAAACTCTTTCCTTCACACCTGAGCAGCAGTGGTATCCTGAGTGGCAGCACGAGGAACTTGGTGGGATGATAAACAGTGACCAAGTCGTAAGTGTTTAATTTTCCAATTAGTTTATAGGAATAAATTTCTTAAGAGAAGGGAATGACTTACACTTTTGTGTGTGGGGGGGATTCTTCTTGTAACACTTTAGCACAGGCCTTTATCTTTCTGATTTCAACTAAAAACAGGGATGTTTTAGATACCAGGTTTAAGACCTGGCTTTGCTCCCTACTGGTTGTGTAACTCTGGGAAAAGCTTTTTCCAGGTAGCTAGGAGTTAACACTCACTTTGGATAAGCTGTTCCCAAGATAAGAACTAGTGCTTTCCCCTCACCCTGCCTGTGACCGGGGGAGATGGGACAGTGGATTTTGAAATATACAAACAAGAGAACTGAGTAGCATCTATATGTTACTCCTAATTTACGACAAGACATCAGCCAAGACCAACTAAAAGGTCCAAGTCTTCTCTCCTTTTTCTTCCCTACATGTATTTTCCCGTGCTACTTCACAACATTTGTGTGCTTCTGTCTGTGTACTAACTTAGGTTCCATATACCTCAAAACATCTTGAAACTACAACTGGTATTTGAACATGTCCCAAATGTCTTCCAGTTTAACTCAATGTTCCTCAAAGCTTTTTTCACATCTACCTGAAAGCACTTCCTTTTCTACTGAAACAGCATGGAGTCGACCCCATCACAAAATTATGGGAGAAGTCATTTATTTTTCCTTCCCCTTCTCTTAAAAGTCCATTATCCCTTTAGACCTGTTCTATGATTAAGTGAAGGAATGGGACAACAACTGTACCCATTATAGGAACCCAGGAAGAGCTGTAGGTTTTCTTGGTTGATATCTTGGGCAATATGTAGTCTGTATGTTTGAATCAAGTCCAGGTTGGCCTGCAATTCTTCCTAGAACAAGTGAAAGAAGACACAAGTAACTTTCTGAGCTACAGAACAAGCCCATTTATTTGGTTTGCATTTTCAATAGCAAAAGCCAGCTCTCACTGTGCATAATGAGAATTGGGGTGAGGCCTGGGAACTACTAATACACTGCTAGGACGAATGGCTAAAATCTTTTCATTTGCCTCAGTGTAGTGTGGTGTCATATTCTCTGTCAGAAGGGGGCACCAAAGAACCTATTATGGATTCAAGTGCTAGCTGGGAAACTAGGTCACCTAATCATTCCGAACCCTAATTTCCTTATTTGTGTGTTTATGTTCTGTTGTTTCTCATAAAAAGAAAGCTGGGTACAGTGATGCATGCCAGTAATCCCAGCTACTCAACAGGCTGAGGCAATAAGATGCAAGTTCAAGGTTCATCCAGGGAACTCAGTGAGACCCTGTTTCAAAATTAATAAAAATGGCTGGGAGCCAGGCATAGTGGTGCACACCTATAATTCCAGAGACTCGGAGGCTGAGGCAGGAGGATGGCAAGTTCAGGACCAACCTCAGCAACTTCATGAGACCTGTCTCAAAATAAAAAATAAAAAAGACTGGGGATATGGCAACCCCTGGGTTCAATCCCTAGTACCAAAAAAGTGATGGTGATGTAGCTTGGCTTGCTTAGCCATGTGGGAAACTCTGAGTTTGAACCTGGTACTGCAAAATAAAATAAAACAAAACAAAACATTTATCTAAGTGCTTAGAAATATAAATAATTAGTGAAGGAATGGGACAACTGTACCCATTATAGGAACCCAGGAAGAGCTGTAGGTAAAATAAGAAAATGCTTATTTTCTCCCCATCTACCACTTTCTTTCAGATGCATTTAGAATTAGCTATACAGACTGCAATTTAGAGCACATCACCCCTGGTTTTATTGTTCTCTCTCCACTCCAGGCACCTCACAGCTCTATTTTGTTCTTGCTCATTTCGTTCATGACCCCTTCATGGGTCACCTCACTTTTCCCTTTGAAAAGTGGTCTGGGGTCTCCCACTAGCCAGTGACCTCTCTCCCCAACCCAACAATTATGCGCATGATGCTACTTCCTCTGTAGACTTCAGATTCTTCATCATTTCATGGGACTAAACAAAATAATTTCTAAGGTTCTTAGGTTCTTGCAGCAATAATAGTTCATGATTTCTTTCTTTTTGGAAACTTGTGTTTCTATGAAGCCTTTCCCAGACCCTCTCTGCTGGCTCTAAAGATGTTTGGTAAAGCACAGATGTTGTCAAACATTAACAGATGGCATGCTACTTATAGGGGACAGGTGGAGGGAGACACTGTTTTCT